CTGCTGGGACAGCACGTGCAACCACACATAGACGCTCACATGCACCAGTACACGGGCAGCTGCATGCGGACACATTCAGGTGCGTCTACACACACACACAAGCACATGCACACACAGGCATGGACCTGCTCACAGACGTGTACATGGAGCTGCGCATGCTTGTGAACAGATGTGCACACACAGCCACACAGAGACATGTATGTGCACTTACATACTCTCGAAGGCACACACACCTATATACGGACCTGCACAGAGGCAACCATATACTGTCGCAGTGTGTAAACTTTTCGGGGGCTTCTTGTTTATCTTCAGTCAAGACCAAGGCCCCAGGGTGGGCGTCTGGTCTGCCCTGCCCCTTCCTCTTACTGGAGGCCCCTCTCCTCCTCTCTCCGTGTCCAGCCACTTTGACCTTCCTGCACTTCCCTCGTAACACCGCAGTTTGTCTGTCCCTTTCCTAACGCACCCCCATACGTACACCACAGGGCCTTTGCACATGTTCCTGTACCTGGTACACTCTTTCCCTCACCCATGCCTCTGAGATTTCCAGCCATGCCCAGCGCACAGTCTGTGATGGGGAGTCCTGGGTCGGGCCCTGAGGGACTGTGGTTTCTGAGCTGCGAAACAATGTGGTCATCCAACGCTTGGACTTTGCCTCTGGGCTGACCATCATCAGGTTCCACCCTGGGACTTGGGGAGTCCTTGGATGTCCAGTAAAGCCTACTTAGACTCAGAGAGAGGCCTGGCAGGAGCCTTGTGGGGACTGTCCTGAGGTCCCATTTGGACTGAGGCCAGCTCCTGCTCACAGGCTTCTCTGCATCTGCGCAGCACCCTGCCCCCTGCACGGTTCCACGCACATGCTCGCTCCCTGGACCCAGTTTCCTCTTCCCTCCCACATTGCCCTGTGGTTGCCAGAGCACACTGATCAAAGACTACATGGCCAGCCCTTGGGTTGGGACTTCCAGACAGTGGCAGTTCAAGTCCCAGGCTGCCTGCCCAGCCCTGCGGCCCTGGGCTTATGGAGCACATACTTCCCGAAGCGCAAATCGCATGTCCTGGGACAGAGCAGCTCATGACCAAAGGCTGGGTGGGCGTGGTTCACCCTCCTCCGGACGCAGTGCCAGGCTGGGGGCCACCAAGTCAGGGCTTATCCCTCGGCGGGAGCAGTTGAGGGGAAAGGGACATGGCACCCGGCGCCAGGCCCTGTGCAGGTGCCCTGCCCTCATGGACTGGCCTCGCTCACAGGTGGAAGCCAGCCCAGAGTGCCCTCTGTTGGTGGGGTGAAGCCGGGATCTGGCACAGGCCTGCCGCTTTCTCCTGCACCACTCGGCCTTCCTGCTTTTAAGGAAATCCCAGCCTGATAGGAGAGAGCAGAGAAAGGGAGGGTGCAGGCAGCGGGGGAGGGGAGAGGGCACCCGGCTGGCGAGGGAGGCAGCCATGTGTGAGCTGACCTGTGAGGAGCAGGCCGAGCTCCGCACAGAAGCCAGGCGAGAGGTGCCACAGATGTGGAGCAGCCCCTGGAGAAGCCAGGGTGACAGAACGAGCCCTGCAGAGCACAGCAGGTGTGGGGCCCGGCCTGGCGAGCTCCTCTAGGCCCAGGTTGTAGTGGGTGGGAGTGGCACTGAGAGGGATCGCAGGGGCCGTCACACAGTGTGCCGTGAGAAGTTGCAACATCTCCATCTGCTCAGGTGCAGCTCTGATCCAAGGCAGGGTCACCCCAGGACCCTGAGGCCGTCACAAGCTCTCATGTCTGGGGTTCCCTTGTCACCTGCCTGGAGCAGACCTTGTTCCAAGAGTGGGGTCACTGTAGGTGTCCCCAAGGCAGCTGAGAGCCTGCTTTTCTTAGGTGGCAGCAAACAGCTTGGGAAGCTCATTCGGGAGGAACCTGTTCTGGGTGATCTTTGTCCCTGACGCTGACCAGCTGAAGGAGAATCAGTCAGTTGGGGCAGGGCTATGCCTCAGATTTAAAACACTAACTTGAGAAAAACAGTGATAACCATGGGGGACACCCCCGGCCAGGTTGGACACTGCCTCTGATGGGAGGGTGCTAGCCTCCTGCTGGCACGATGGCACTGGTAGGCAGGTCCCCAGCCTAGGCACCCAGCAACTGCTGGGGTGGAGAAAGCTGCTCCAAGTGGTGGAGTGAGGGCTTTGGGTGCCTTTCCATACCCAGGGGACTGTTGGGTAATCAACAGAGACTCGGAAGCAGTCACAGGTGCCCTCCACGCGCTGACTACCCATGGTGGAGAGAGGCACGTCCCAGGTGTGATGAGAGGCAGGGCCTTGTTGCCGCCACGATGTTTGTTTACAAACCCTTATTCTGATGAAAGTTCATTGAAAGATATATAGGAAATATGGTAAAATGCAAAGAAGCAAAAAATTCCTCTGATTTCACAACCCAGAACTCATTGCTGCTTGGAGAATGACTTGCCAGACCTCCGCTTACGCGCTGCACGTGTGTGTGTGCGTGCGCGTGCATGTGCACATGCTACACACATGACCTACGTATCAGCCTAAGCAGGCGCTCTGCCAGTCCCCACTCTGCCAGGGCTGGAGGTCACCTCGAGGCTTCTGCTCTCAGACATAATTTTCAGCCTCGCTGGGATCGGGCTGAACAACTGTTTCATTACTGCGCTCTCAGCAGACATGTTTCTGGGGCATTCCTTGGTGCACCTCACATCCGTGGCTGCCAGCGCGTGGGACTGTAGAGAAGTGGGAAGTTCCTCAGCCTCTCTGAGTCTGGTTCCTTCCACCACCAGCGCTTACTGAGCACCCGCTGTGTGCCAGGAACTGCTCTGCTCCCAGCGGGCCCGGCCCTCCGCCACTGACACTCTGGTCGGGGTGGACAAGGTCACGCAGTACCTGAGGGCTGCTGTGGAGGAGGCCAGCAGAGGGGCTGGGGTGACACAGTGACGAGGACAGTGGGGAAGTGACTGCCACAGGCTGGCACTTGCCGAGTACAAAACCCATGCTAGATGCTTTACTCCTCGTGGGCTGGTGAGAGACCGGCTCTGAGACAGACAGTGACGTGGAGGGGTGAGACTGACCACCCTGAGAGCTGTGGGGGACGTCGGGGTTTGACCAAGGGAGAGAGGCGGCATGAGAGCATGGAGTCCTGAGCTCAGAGGCTGGTGGGTGTGGGGAGCAGGGTGGATGCAGGGGGCCACCGTAGCTGGGAGAGGACGGGATCGCTGGGCTTTGTGGTCAAGTCTGTGCGGGGTAAGGGGCAGCGAGGGGCATGGATGACAGCGGGGAGGATGAGGACACTGGAATAGAGGCTGATTTGTCAGGTTGAGTTTCAGATGCTGGTCATAGCCAGGAGTGGACATGGGGGAGGCCTGGGCTCTTCAGGGTCTGTCTGCCATGGGCCTTCCCACCCCAGGGCCTGCCATGGAGGTGATGGGGGCGTCGGGTGAACACTGGCTGTGGGGGGATGGGGAGACTGGGAGCTGCCAGACAGGGACAGAGGTTGGAGGAAGGAATGAAGGGGATGTGCATGTGAGTAGGGTGGGGGCAGCTGCCACCTGGGCTCAGTCGGGGGACAGAAGCCTGAGTTTTGGGGTTGCCTTGGTGCGGGGGTCTGCCCAGCCATACAGAAGGTCATGGGATCATCCTGGGTGTGGTCAGAGGTGGCCAGGGAGCGTGGGTGCTGGGCCCTGCCCTGGGGTGCGCACAGCTGTTCCTCCCGATGACCAGGTGGGTCTGTTGGTGGAAGATTCTGCCTGGGGCTGGGGAGGCCTCTGGACCACCCTGCCTCGCCTTAGACTCAGTGATGACTGCTGCCCTTAACAGCCGCTCCACCCTGTCCCTCTCCTGCCTTCCCAGGTGGACGTCACCACAGTGCTCTGTGCCAGCCAGGCCCTGTGGGCCCCTGCTCCCCAGCTGCACCCCCTGGCACTCCCACAGCCCACAGCCTCCACCAGGCTCTGGCCCTGCCCGTCTGCTTGCTCCCGGGGCCTCAAGGGAAGGCAGGGCCAGGCCTCCCTCCTGGTGCACATCCTGCCCTGTGAGAGCCTCAGGGCCCCAGTTCTTGCCGTCGTGGCAAATTGAGGAGGCACCTTGTTATTCTGGGCCTCTTTTGGGCAGGGCTGAGGCCAGGACCCTGCTGTAAAACAGGGTGAGCTCCATCAGCACTCTCCAAGAAGAGGGTCCCAGGGGGCACCACAGTGGGGTCACCTCACTGAATCCTAGCCAGACACAGAGACCAAGGCTCAGGGAGGGTGAGGCCAGCTGGGCTGGTGGGCAGGGAGGGGCGGTGGAGGCTATTCCAGCACTGGGGCCAGGCGGGTGGAGGCCTCACTGCTCTCCTCTCCCATGCACCTGGCTGCAGGCGGTCCGGCCAGGCGGCAGCAGGCGTGCTTGTCACACTGCAGTTTGGACACTGCCCCTGTAGCACTCCGTGGAGAGGGGATCTGATGGATCAGTCCGGCTGTTTTCTGAGGCCAGCTGTGGCTGCTCTGCTTTCCCTACCCAGCCTGAGGTGGGGCTGCTGGCAGGAGGCTCACACTGTTCTCTGTTTGGCAGGTAAAGGGCTGGATGTGCTGCAGGAGCCAGAGCAGCCGGAGGCAAGGGGGCTGCAGGGAGCACACGCAGCACCAGGGACTGGCCCTCCAGCTGCACTTAGCAGCATCGCCGCAGCAACCAGCGACCAGCAACCAGCGACCAGACGGCAACAGCCTAGGCAGACACAAGCAAAAAGCGGACGGCTTCCCACCGTCGGCTGAGGACAGGGAATGACTACAGCGAATCAGGCCACGCTGCTGCCGACAAGGGAGGTGGAGTGTCACTAGAAGGGAGGGGCGGCCACCGCCCGCTGCACAAAGCACCATGCGGGCTGGAGCAGAGGCGCTGGGGCAGGGGCTGCGGTGTGGCTCTGCTTTGCCCCACTGCCAGCACTGAGCGCTTCCAGGGCAGCTGGGCTCTCATCTGTCGGGTGCACCAGCCGCGCTTCAGTGTCCCCCACTGCGGCCGTCCCACCTGGAGGCCAGGCAGAGCAGGCAAGAGGGAGAGGCCCCCATCCCGTGCTCCGCATCCGGGCCCGCCGCTGCCGGACCATGGGATGTCGGCAAAGCTCAGAGGAGAAAGAGGCAGCGCGGCGGTCCCGGAGAATCGACCGCCACCTGCGCTCGGAGAGCCAGCGGCAGCGCCGCGAGATCAAGCTGCTCCTGCTGGGCACCAGCAACTCGGGCAAGAGCACCATCGTCAAGCAGATGAAGATCATCCACAGCGGCGGCTTCAACCTGGAGGCCTGCAAGGAGTACAAGCCCCTCATCATCTACAACGCCATCGACTCGCTGACACGCATCATCCGGGCCCTGGCCGCCCTCAGGATCGACTTCCACAACCCCGACCGCGCGTACGACGCCGTGCAGCTCTTCGCGCTGACGGGCCCTGCCGAGAGCAAGGGCGAGATCACACCCGAGCTGCTGGGCGTCATGCGGCGGCTGTGGGCCGACGCCGGGGCCCAGGCCTGCTTCAGCCGCTCCAGCGAGTACCACCTAGAGGACAACGCGGCCTACTACCTGAACGACCTGGAGCGCATCGCCGCGCCCGACTACATCCCCACCGTCGAGGACATCCTGCGCTCCCGGGACATGACCACGGGCATCGTGGAGAACAAGTTCACCTTCAAGGAGCTCACCTTCAAGATGGTGGACGTGGGTGGGCAGAGGTCGGAGCGCAAAAAGTGGATCCACTGCTTCGAAGGCGTCACAGCCATCATTTTCTGTGTGGAGCTCAGTGGCTACGACCTGAAGCTCTACGAAGATAACCAGACGGTGAGTGGGGCCCGGGTTTTCCTTTGCCTGTTCCTGCTGTCATGGGCTCCTGGAAGCAGGTGCACTTGTGGGGGTGAGGAGAGGCTGGCCCTGCCACGTGATGACGAGTGAGCTCCAGGTTCCCTGAAGGAGGCATCGCTGTGGGCAGAGGGCTTGGGGCTGACCAGGCTTCAAGGCAAAGTGAGGCGCCCATGCCAAGCCCGGAGACCATCCATGTGGGTCTGCCAGCCATCCTGCAGCAGCCAGTCACATGAGTTTGGGCAGTCGGCACTCTGGGCTTCTGCTGTGCTCTGAGGCCTTCCCGGCCCTGATCTAGGGGCTGCTTCAACTGTCAACTCCAGGGCAGGCGTGGTGAATTCCCTCGGCGCCGGGCCTGGCTCCCCAGCCCATCTTTTGGCAGGCTGTGCCCTCAGGTGTGCCAGGACGTGGGAGGGTTGGTCCCACGTTTCATGGAGGGCTTTGGCCTCTCTGAACCTATCAGCACCATGTGTGGTTCTGGGTGGAGATGTCCCAAGGTGGCTCCGGCAAGGTGGTTGGGCCCATCCTCAAGCTGTGCTCAGAGAGCAGAGTGTGGAGTTTGTAGGTGTAGGGTCATGCCTATTGCTAGGATGGGGGGCTCCTGGTGGGCAGGGCCGTGCTGGGCCCTCACAGCTTCCTATGAGACTTCATGGCTTCCCTGGCCTGGGGCTCTCCTCCGACCTAGGTGACCGTGCCCTAATAGACCCTTGGAGCTCCGACACCCTCCAAGTAACCACAGCACCCCTGGGGTCCACAGAGGAGACCCAGCTCACCAGGCAGGGACGAGCATCAGCTATGGCTACCTTCCCCTGGTTGCAGATAGCACTGCTCTCATGGAGCTTATGGGCCTCTGGTGCCCAGGGCATGTGCCCAAGCCACCTCCATCTCAGTGCAGTGAACAGACAACATCCCATGCCTGAACCATGCAGGGTGTGGAGGCCACAGGGCGAGAGAGGACGGGGCCAGGCCAGGCCTCCATGGTCGGTCTGTGTGGCAGCTCGGCAAATCCATGAAGCTCCTGCCAGCACTGGTCTCCTGCCAACGTGTAGGTCTTGGGAATGGCAGCCACCCTGTGGCCCCATCTTGATCCCAAGAGTCTGGTGGTGGTGGCATTAAGAACTGTTTGGAATGCATAATCCCAGGGGTGTAGGACCTGGGCTTGGGGTCCCAGTGCTAGGAACTCAGTAAGAGGGTGGCCTAGGGTAGTTGTCGGGATTCCTCTGAGCCCTTGGCCCAGGCTGAGGACCACTGTGTGGGGACAAGGACTCAGGCACGAAGTGGGGTGGGCACAGCCTGAGGGAGACCTGGCCCAGTGCCGAGCTGGTGGGGCTTTGACAGGGAAGTTGCTACAGAGGGTGAGCCCCATGCGCAGGCCCAGCACACACAGGGTGGCAAGGGCCAGGAGCGGTGGCGGTGGAGGCTGAGGTGGACAAGGGAGAGGCTGTCCTGTGCAGGAGGAGTTTTGGGCCAGGCAGGAGCCCTGAACAAAGACCTTGGATCTGTCCTAAAGAGAGAGGCCTTTGACCCTGGGGGTGGAGAAAGTGGGGACAGAGTCCCCTGAGGAGCAGGTAATGGGGCTGTGGGTACCCCGGGGCTCAGGGGAGGGCAAGGCTGCTCATGGGTGACCCTGCGAACATGGAGCCTCCACCATGCTGGGAGACGAGGGCCCAGCTGCGCCATGGAGCACTGGCATCTGGGGTCATTCCTTCCTGCACCCGGTCCTAAAGCAGGCTTCATTCCCAAGGGTTCTAACTTTGGGCCTGGACGGCTCCAGGCTGTGGCCCCAGGGCTAGGAGCCTGCATGTTCTGGGCAGAGAGGATCTGTGGCCTTCCTCAGGCGGCTTTGGAGGCAGGGCTTGCCCCCTCCCCTCCATGCATAGGGGCCTCCCTGGAACTGTGCCCAGGTGTTGATGGTATGGCTGGCAGGAGGGACGGGCATGGCTGCATGCAGACGCTGCATCTGCAGCGTCTGGAGGTGGGGCACGCCTGCAGCCAGCTGCGGTCCACCTGCTCGCAGCGCTGTGTCTGCGTGTAGTCTCCAGGGTTCTGGCCCCTCTTATCTTCTGTCTGCCCCACTTCAGCACCACGTGTGGTTCTGGGTGGAGGATTTGTCCCCAGAAGACAAGTGAGGTCAGGCTCCCTTGGGGAGGCATCGCTGTGAGCAGAGGGCTTGGGGCTGACTAGGCTTAGAGACAAAGTGAGGCACCCAGGCTGGGCTCCAGGGACAGGCCGTGCAGGTCTGCTGGCCACTCTGCAGCTGCCAGTCACAGGAGCTCAGGCAGTTGGTGCTCTGGGCTTCTGCCCATTTCTGCTGCTGTGCCCTGAAGCCTTCCCGGTTCGGATCTGGTGGTCGCCTCATCTGTCAACTCCAGGCGTGGCGAATTCCCTCGGTGCCCTTCCCGGCTCCCCGGCCCTTTGGCAGGCTGTGCCCACAGGTGTGCCAGGACCCAGGAGGCAGGACGCCTGGGCCCTGGGTTGGCCCCATGTTTCATGTAGGGCTTTGGCTATCACCTCTGCTCTCTGAACCTGTCAACGAGGAGATGGCCCAGGTGTCCTCCTGGTGGCCTTCCAGGCTCTATCTGGCCAGTGCCTACCACCTTGCTGCCTCTGTCCTCTCTCTGCTTCCACCGTGGTCAGCTTGCTTCACTCCCATAGTGCGGCTCTGTCCTGCCTTCAGCTTGTGACCATCCTGTCCCCTGTCCCTTCAGGTCTCATCCCAAATGACACCTCCCAAGGAGGCCTTCCCTGTCTGTAGCCCTGTGCCTGCACAGGCCCCGATGGGCTGGGTGCCTGTCGGCTTGCATCTCGGGGCTCCCCTCTCCTGGTCTGTCCCTGTGGGGAGCCACAGTGGGCAACCCTGGGCAGGGACAGCAGCCTCTGGCCTGGCTGTGGGGATCTCTGTGAGGCTGTGGGCATTCAGGGCATTTTCCAAAGGGAAGGGTTGACAGCCAGGCGGGCACCCCCATCACCATCACCTTGGTCTCTGCAGGCCTGGGGAAGTGATTGTTCACCAGAAAAGGAAATTCTTGATGAGAAACCCAAGTGAGGCTGGAAATTCACTGGATTCCAAATGGTTCTTACCTTTCATGCTCTACCAGTATTACCTGAGGATGGAAAACAAACAGGGTACGAGGAAAGACAATGCCCTCCCGTGATTCTGATCCCTCCCGCCGGCTGGGCTGGCCCCCGGCGTGGTGCCAGCAGTGAGGACAGCCCACCTCTTCTGTGCCCAGCCCTCCCTCCAGCCGGGCCAGGGCCAGCACAGAGCTGCCACCCTCTGCCTTCTCCTTCTGGAATGCCCTGAACTGTCCTCCTTGGGCCCTGTCAAAGGCAAATCAGCCAAGAACAAGCCATGCTGGTTTTTGCAAAAGCTGAATGAACCATGGGGCCAGCACTAAGGCTCTGGGTGTGGCTCCTCCAGAGCCCTCCTCCCTTTCTGTGCTCCCAAGGCCTTGTCTTCCCTGACGGAGGCTGGCAGTGCCTCCCTACCCCCACTCCTGGCAAAGGAGCCACAGCCCCCCGGCCCACCTGCTGGCTTCTGCGTCAGCACGTTGCCAAGGAGAACGTCAGCATGTCTGGGCTCCCGGGCGTGAGGGCAGCAGTGAGTGAGCACAGGGCAGCACCGTGAGTGGAGGGGAGGCGGGTCCTCGGGCTTCCAGGGCAGGGCCGGGGCAGCCAGCTGACCTGAGGAGCCACGCCCATCTTCAGCCGCATTTCCCACCCTAGTCCAGAAGGATCTGATGGATCCTCAGCCTGACCAGGGCCCCACCCTGCAGTCCTAGCAGGCTCCCCAGTGCTCTAAAGCCCAGCACCCCCGTGGGGCTCCCCCAGACAGCCCGGGAAGACTGAACATGGCCCAGTCACGTGTCGGGGCTTTTCTTGGGCACCCCCCCGACTGATCCTGTGGGGCGGCGGCACCATCTGTTATCTCTGTCAAGGTGGAGACACCGAGGCTCAGGCATAGAGACGGTAGTGGCTGGCTACCCATCCCCACCGAGTCCCCAGCACAAGGACAGCCCAGCCAAGTGGCTATGTGCCCTCACCTGGCAGGGGCTCTGTCCCTCCTCTTTGCATTCACACAAGTGTCAGTTGACAGAGATGGTCACTCTGTGACCTCAGGAGGACTGTGGAAAAGGAGTGGAGAAGCCAGCACCCACTGGCCCACATAGCAAGATAAACTCAGGTGGCTGTGACCGGCGGGACAAGGTCCTCGTTCCCCCCGTTGGAGGCACCTCAGGCATCAGGGGACCCCGAGCACCCCTGCAGGGAGCCTTGGGGCAATGTGGGGAGGCAGGCACCTGCCCACCCGCTGTCCGTGAATCGGCTGCTGGACAGCAAGGGACTCTTCAGGAGTCCCCGACTGGAAGGGCTGTTGGTAAAGTGTTGCATGTTCTCATGTGGGAGCCCACAGGGAGCTCCCTGCCCAGCTCCTGACGGAGCCGTCAGCGTTCCCAGCCCTGTGGCGGGCCATGGTGTGCCTGCTGTGTACCTGCTGTGCAGACACAGGCCCGGGCGGGGAGCCAGGCGTGAGGGTGAGCCCGACTCTCCTGGTGGCACAAGGAGCCAGGGACAGGGAGACAGTCACACCAGCACAGCCACAGCTTCATTTCTACAAACCCTTGTGCTGCCAGTGACACCTGCCCCCTCTTTCCAGAGCTGGCAGGCAGCTGGTGCGAGGGGTGTCTCCATTCTGCTTTCACCTAGGGACCTCAGTGGCCACTTGGGCCCCACAGGCAGGCTGGGCTGCCACAAGGCTCACCGTGGGATACCTGGAGTCCCTGCCATTTATCCAAGGGACAGCTAGTCAGCGTGTGTCAGCGAGGGTCTCCAGGGGGACGGATGGGACAGAAGGATACGCCTTTAGGCGGGGGGCAAGTTCTGCAGGTGCTGGTGTTTCAGCAGCCAGACTCCAGGAAGGTGGCCTCTGCCCAGCCCTGGCCAGTGGCCCCTTATCCGGGGGCCTTTGGCTCCCTGAGGAGCCC